TGTCTTCCATTTCTGCCTGGTAGATTTGGAACATGAAGACCACAGAGTGTTCCAACACCTTTAAGTCCCTGGGCAGCACTGCGGGGACAGACATCACCGTCAACAGTGTGATCCTGCTTCCCAAAAACCCAGAGCACTTTGTGGTGTGCAACCGATCCAACACGGTGGTCATCATGAACATGCAGGGCCAGGTGAGTGCTCAGCCAGAGCTTGGGCCCAGTCTGTGGGTGGGTCCCAAATCACCAGGTCCTGGCCCTCCCCTTGCAGCCTCTGATTCAGTCTGACTTCACCACCCCATAGACCAGCCATATGCGTTCTCTGTGTTTGGCAGACATATATTAGAACTACCATGCTACAGTGCATTTCTTTGGTGTCTCAGAAGTTCTCTCTTTACAGTAATTGTGTATTTTGTTTTTTCTTTTGGGTAAACTTTGAACTGTTAACCATGAGATCAGCAGTGCAAACCTACCAGCTGCTCGGTGGGAGACAGGTGGCATTGTCTAGTCCCATTAAAGATTGACAAAGCCTTGGAAAGCCTATACAGGGTTGCTATGAGTTGGAATGGACTCTGTGGCAGTGGGCTTTCCTTTGGATGAGTGTTTCCCAAAGAGGGTGATACTGCCCTGGGTTGGGGGGTTTGAGCTTCTGGAATGATTCAGCAGGGCTGCAAAAGCAGATACCACCACTTGGATTATGGATGATAGTACAAAAGTTTCCTTTGCCAGGGTGCTGCCACTAAGTAGTCAATTAATTAATTAATTGATTTTCTGAAAGGGGGCACTAGGCCAATTGAGTTTGGCAACCCATACGTTGGATGCATGAGGCTCTGATCTGCTTTAAGCCTCCTTCAGAGTCTCAGTGCAGATTGTCAAGCCTGCCAATAGGTGTTTTCTGGGGATTACCAGCTCAAGACATGTAGCTGCCATTTGATCAAAGATCATACTCTTATAGGACAAGGACAACAGGGTCCTGAAAGCAGGAATCGGGACATCCTCAGGGTTCCCAGTGGCTGCTGAACTCAGCACTAACCACTGGGCAGTCAGCACTGCAGCATCCAGGTAGAGGAGTTTCAAGCCCTGAACATGAGTTGTGGTGCTGTTGACATGCTGATCCTGGGGCTCATACTGAGCCTAGGGGAGGGCCAGGGAGCTGGTTTGTGGAGCTCGCCCTCTTTCCTCGGCCTGCTGGTTGAGGCCTATCACTGCTGAAATAGTCACAGAGCCCATGGCAGAGTTGACCTTCTAGAAGTACCTCCCAGGCCACTTTAGACTAGCCACTGGTGCCCAGCATGTCTGCTGAGCACATTTTACCGTTCTTGCTGGATCTTGGTTTTGCTTTTAATGTTGAAATACTAATTCTAGATTGACATACTCAAAACTCAGTGCTAATTCATAGCCACCCCCAGTGGGTTTCCAACACTGTAACTGTTTATGGGTGTAGAAAGCCCAGTCTTTCTCCCTTGGAGCTGCTGGTGGCTTCAAACTGCCAACCATGCGGATCACAGCCCACTGTGCAACCACTACACCACCAGGGCTCCTGTCTGGATTGACATAGTATTGAAGAAATAGGACAGAGCATTCTGCACTATTCCCTTGCCCCTGAAGAGAGAGCAGACAAGGTTTTGGAGACAAAATTCAGCCCTGCGAGGGATCATGTTTGACCCTGTCAGAAAGAGGTAGCTGGGGTGCGCACACGAGTCCACAAAGCACTGTGTGCCGGTGATTTATGGAGAAGTGTGTGTGTGCGCGTGTGTGTAGAGGGGCGGTGAGTGTGCTCAAGCAGGGTCAGTGAACTCTCAACTGGTCTGTCCTAATTTTAGTTAGCTCTCTGTTGAATACAAGGGGGGCTTCCCAAAGTTTATGGGAAAGATCAAATGGAAAGATCAACCATTCTAAAGCCCCCCCCCCTTGCCATTCCAAGCAAGACATTGCTGTGCTGAATGGAATTGGAGATCTGATTCTTGTATAAATGACCCCTCCCCCCCCAAAAAAAAATCAGAACCCAAAAGAACAATATGAAGATACCCCTTTGAAACGATGCCGTGGCTGCGCCGCTATTAACCCGGCTGTTTTGTTTGGCTTCTGCCCTGGGGGGGCCGCCCTGCAGATCGTCAGAAGCTTCAGCTCTGGTAAGCGAGAAGGTGGTGACTTCGTGTGCTGCGCCCTCTCCCCGCGTGGCGAGTGGATCTACTGTGTGGGAGAGGATTTTGTGCTCTACTGCTTCAGCACGGTCACCGGCAAGCTGGAGAGAACCCTGACAGTGAGTACTGCTGGTCTGAGGGCATCTGCAGGCCCTCCATTAATGCGTGTTCATACTGCGTTCTGACCCACAAGCCATTTCCAGACCGACTGCCATCAGTGCAATTCTAGGTGGAAACAATATAATGGAGGCCCTTTATCACGAAATAAGGAGCCCTTCATTGTATGGAATGATCCCCTCTGTCAGGAATAGTCATCCTTCATGTACTCCTAGTGTAACAGCAGAGCCCAAGAAGGGAACATCTCTGTCTCCCCCAGCCAGTGAGGTGAGCCAGGGGTTGGAGTGAGACCAGATTATCTTCTGGATAATAAATCACTTGTATGATCAGTCTGTCCAAGTGATTGTGATGTTTTTAAACCTTTTCAAGCATCTGTTGATAATTCACAATTCCCAGATTCCAGTGACTAAATGTTATTTCTTGCTGTGTCTCAACACCTTTCAGCTGTGCCGTTTAGAATATGTGACATCTAAGATTTCAAGAGGAAAGAAAGTACTGTCTATACTCATGAATAAGCCGAGCTTTCAGCACATTTGATATTGAGGTCGGCTTATACTCAAGTATATATGGTAGTTGGAAGGCACTGATGCTTTACTGATTTCAGACCCGTATCTGGAAGAGGCTTACGCTACTTTGTTCTTCGTTCTTTTGGTCAGCATGTAGTCATGCAGCCCCAGCCAGGTGTAGTCAACTTCTGTGGTCCAGGCAGAGGAAATGGTATGGTGAGCAAGCAACAAAATCTACCCCTGCCTGTGTCAGAGAGTAATCTCATCTGGAATTGGTCTTGTGGACTTTGCCCCACTGCCTTTTGCAGGCTTGAGTGTAGACCTAAGATGTGAGCAAGACAAGAAGAGCTTGGCGAGTCCGCCAGCTCCAGATCCTGTAAGACACAGGTCCACTGACTGGAGGGATCCTTTATTGTTCATCGCTGCTTTGCCCTATAACCTTCAGATTGGTGTTGATCAGTAGGATTGGCTATGGTGCAAAAATGATCTAGGATGAAGCACCTTTATTCACAAATAGGAACAGTACAGATAGGCTAACAAATGTGCTCGCTCTGTGCGTGCATGTGTGTGCATGTGTGCACTTGCCCCGGGTGCCTCTTCTTTATTTTCTCGGTTTTCCTCCTCGGGCTCCAGGTGAGGCCATCTTCAGCATGATTACTTCCATGAGAAGTAGAAACTTACCTCTGTGTCCTCTCACCCAGCTTTCCAGGGTGACTCCCTAACCCCCTGCTGTCCCTCTTCCAGGTTCACGAGAAGGATGTGATTGGTATCGCCCATCATCCTCATCAGAACCTGATCGCCACCTACAGCGAAGACGGCCTCCTGAAGCTCTGGAAACCCTGAGCCCCTTTCCCTTGGGAACTCGCGGGAGCATGCGCTTCAGTGGAGGCCAAGTCGTGTGTGCTGCTCTTTCGTCTCTTTTTCTGTTGCCAGCTTTTCTAAGAAAATAAATCATCTGAGTAAGCCACACACAGAACACTTTTGTGAAAATGCACATTTGTGTACCAGATACTTTTTGTTGTATATTTTTAAGATATTAGTTTGCCTTCTAAAGGGGGAAATCACATAATGTTTTCAATAATCTTTTACCTGGAAAATGAAATACTGGTGTTTCTAGGGGGAAAAATTGGATTTTTGGAAATGCTGACTAAATTGAACCTCTTCCAGTAGAACTTGTAAATAACAAACTACCCATATTCAGTAGCAGTTTTTTCCACTTTTTTTTTTTAAAGATGTTAATAAACTTTACACCTGTTTGGAGGCTTTATTTGTTTTTAATTTATGCTCATCTAATCAGCTTACTTAGAATGAGGTGGTAGTGGCAATATTATTATCCCAAGTGTCTCAACCAGCATGAATCTCATGTGCCCCAATCCAAGTTCATTGCCATCGAGTTGATTCTAACTCAGAGGCTTTCCAAAACTAAATCTTTATGGAAGCAAACAGCCTCATCTTTCTTTTGTGGAGCGGTGTGTGGGTTTGAATTGCTGACCTACTCCACAGTGCCAACCGAAAACTAACTAACTAAAACACTGCCACAAGCTGACTCTGACTCATAGCGACCCTGTAGGGCACAGTCGAACTCCCTAGAGTTTCTCTTGTGCAGCAGCTGGTGGGGTTGAGTAACCCACTACTCCACCAGAGCTCCTCACATCGCCACCAGGGCACCTTGAACCAAAGTACAGTGGAAAGGCACTACCTAGGACAGTAGGGTACTCAACACGTAGAAAGGCCAGGTGATGCAGAAGGTCTCATTTCACTGGTAGCTCTTCCTTCTACTCGTTCTCAGCTGTTCTGACCAGCTGTAGGGAAGGGAAGTGGGATGTCAGCTGGAGAAGAAAGTTAGGCAGCAAAACACCCTTGAGCATATTTTTTTGCATATGGGTGTCATGCCCTGGAGTTGGGCAATTAGTTTGTAAACACCAGTTGGGTTCCTTAAAATGAAAAACTGCTCTATGAAAGTTGAGGGAATGAAAAGACACACCACAGATAGGGTGAGGAGATTTGTAAGGCAAATCTGATAAAAGACTTGTTTGGAGGATTTACAAAGCCCCAACCAAACTCACTGCCATCGAGCCCATTGTGATTCAAGGCAGCCCTATAGTACAGTAGAACTGCCCCTGTGAACTCCGAGACTGACTATGGGAGTAGAAAGCCTCTTCTTTCTCCTATGGAATGGCTGGTGGTTTCAAACTGCCAACCAGTGCTCTAACTCAAACCCATTATGCCATTGGGGGTTCCTTGTAGGGTTTACAAAGAACTCCACATTCACCTGGAATTAAACACGTTAAAAGATGGGCAAAATATTTGAACAGCTATCTCACCGAAGAAGACAATACAGATTACATGAGCATGAAATGATGTTCAGTATCCTTTGCCATTAAGGAACTGCAAATTATATTGCAACGATGAGATAACCAATACAAGTCTGTTAGTTGCTGTTAAGTCTGTCCCAGACTCCTGGTGATGCCAACCACCACAATGCTTGGTCCTGCGCCATCCTGATATGGTTCAGACTGAGGTGTTCTGCAGGGTTTTCACTGGCTGATTTCTAGAAGTGTTTGAAAGGCCTTCAGGAAATCGCTCGAAAGCGTCATAGCAATGTTGTAGCGACCCGATGCTCAAACAACAAGACACCGATCCCGTGCCATCCTCACAGTTGTTCCTATGCCTGAGTTCATTGTTGCAGCCACTGTGTCATTTCGTCTTAGATGGCTTTCCTCTTCTTCATTCCCCTCCATTTTACCAAACATGATGTCCTTCTCCAGGGACTGGTCTCTCCTGACAATATGCCCCAAGTTTGTACAGCAATGCTCAAGCCTTTTAGAATAGCTAAAGTCCAAAACTGGCACCACCAAATACTAGCGGGGATGCACAGCAGCAGGGACTATTCCGTTGCTGGTGGCAATGCAAAATGGTAGAGCCGCTTTGGAAGTGTGGCCGTTTCTTAAAAAGTCTCACCAGACCATATTAACAATCAAGGTCTAGCGGGCTTGATTTGAGCTTTCAGCTCAAGTGAGTTGAAAATTTTGGTCCACTCAAAAACCACTTGAATGCTTATAGCAGCTTTAGTCATAAATGCCAACATTTTAAAAGCATCCAAGGTGCCATTCGATGGGTAAATGGATAAAGGAGTTGGTACACACATACAATATACTATTACTCAGAGATAAAAATAAATGGACTCTCAAGCCAGGAAATGGCAAGGGAGACTCAGATGCACATTGCTGAGTGAAAAAGGCCGGTCCCCAAAGGTTATATACTGTGTACTTTGAATATTCTGGGGAAGGCAAAACTTGCTATAAAGAATAAAAGCTTAAAGGTTGAGTAGGCTGGAGCAGAGGGGATGTTTGGGGATATACCTTAATAGTGGACATATTACATGTATTTGTCAGAACAACTGTGACAGCACAGCCCTACTCTCACCTATGGAATTCTGCTGATCTATGGGTTGGGTCATCAATTGTAACAAATGCATCACACATGTGAAATGCTAATTGGTATGTGGAAGCTCTGATTGTGATGTTTCCCTAAACTTGCAGCTGCTCTAAAAATGTCCGTTAATTTTTAAAGTGAATTTATACATATTCTAAGGGAAGAGTTGTTTGCGTTGCTTTTGTCAGGAGGGCACCCAATCCTGCCCCACGCTGTTGGAAAGGCATCCTAGAGGGGCTGGGGAGGAGCGACAGGACAGGCTGTGTGGGGAAGGCAGGGGAGGGGCCCTGGATGTCATCCTGTAGCTATGGGAGCCGTTACATATATACTTCTACTTTTAAAAAGTAATATCTTGGATGACACAGATAAACGCAGAGTTGGGTAAGAAAATGAACCTTCTGCATCTCCCACGTAAATCTTTCATCCTCATTGTGTACCTATCTAGAAGTAGCGCGATTGTTTTTCTTTAAAAGCGGGGGAGGGGGAATGTGTGCACAAACTCTTCATATTAATTACCCAGGGCCTTGCTTTCCGCCCCGCAAACCCAGCGCTTCAGCCCAGCCGTCAGGGAGTCCCTTGCTGCAGAGGGGCACGTGGCCATCCCCAGCGCTCGCGACCGCCCCCTTCTCCCCGCCCAGCAGGCGGCGCACAGGAGCCGGGCTGCGCGTGCGCAAGGGGCGGCGGACCCTCCTCCCCGACGGCCGGGAAGCGCCTCTGCTTCAGGTAAGGCGGGAGCAATGCAGGAACCCAAGCTGGGTCCCAGAGGTGTCGTTCACCGCCTTCAGGGAGCGCGCTGAGCGAGCACCCGCGGGAGCCAGCTACCCTGGCTTTCCCAGTACCGATGTGGCAGTCGGCGAGGGTGCTATTGGGCCCCTCCCCAGTGCCCTAGGCGGAAAGGAAGCGGTTGGAGACTAAGATCAGCGGCACCTGCGCGTGTGAAGGAGCCCTGGTGGTGTGCTGGGTTGTGCGGCTAACCTCAAGGTCAATCCTTCCCCTGTGGAGGAGGGATCAGGCTGTCTACTAAGACCCACCGGCGCGGGTCAATAGGAGTCGGAATCAACGGCAGCGAGCTGGAGGTGTGATGAAATTGTTATCCCAACGTGATCTTCTTTTGCCAACCAGAATCCCATACTTTGCTGTTTCCCTCTGCCTGGTCTAGAAGTAGCTATCGTGCTTCATTGGTGTTTTTCGGCTGCGAACAGTGTGACAAGCTGTTCGAAACCAGCAGCAGTTCGAAACTGGGTTTTCTACTCCTTAGAGTCAAGTCTCGAGGAAACCCAGAGGGGGTCGCTCTGAGTCGGCCTTGAGGCGATGGGGGTTTGGTTTATTCTTCGGAGATCCCTCCCTCGGAATGGATCCCCAATGCCCACCTTCTGTTCAGCAGCAGAGCCCTTCCCTTTGGTGGCTGCGGGGCGGGGATGCGCTCTGTGTCCTTGGGATCTGGTTTGATATGCAAATTCAAGCTCCAGCCCAGCAGGCAAGCACAAACTAAAAGCTACTTGATCACTAGACCCCACTAGTTTCATCTACAAAGCAGCATTGTGTCATGAGGTCGTTAAAAACTGGTCACATACACATTTTGGTGCCTGAAATGTTATTTCTGGTCATGTTTGACCTGCTGATTACAAAAATAGCACAAGTTTCCCCCTATCAGCTCTACTTTTTGAGATACGGCACATATGCCATAAACCATTCTTTACTCTGTTCATCCACCTTAAAAAAATCACTTTTTTATGTAGCTGAGAAAGAGGAAGTGCATGCTGGCTGGCTTTATTCAAAGTAGGTTGTGTTGTATTAAACATTAGATCAAGTTATACTTCACATGGTGTTCTTTGATCCAATGATATATTGAACAGTACAAATTACACGAACTTGGAATTTCCCCCTAGTATTACTTCACCTTGATTAGGAACTCGAGCAGGCAGTTCCAATTTGTAAGCTTAGACGCAGGCCAGAAATGAGACCCTGTACAATAAATAAGGTGCCCTGATGGTGTAGTGGGTTGTGTGTCAGCTATTGGAGCCCACTGGCCCTCTTGCAAGGCAAAGAGGAGACTTTCTGCCCAGATTGACAGCTTCAGACCCACAGGAGAACCCCAGTCTTGGAATTGCTGTCGCAATCCATTGACTAGGAGTGAGTTTGGTACAACAAAGATTCAAATGTTCTGAAACCCAAAATAAGTCTATCAAGGTTCAAACTCATTAAAATTAAAATGGCCCTTTCTCCACCTGTGCATAAAAAAAATCTAAAGCGTTAGAATGAGAAAGTTAGAATTTTTCTTATAAATAAGCTTGCTGTCAACCTCACGTCTGAAACATTTCACATGGATTATCCGTTGGTGTTCTGAAATGTGTACTGCATCATTTGAAGAGGAAGCGTAGGTCTTCAAAATATGAACATCGACCTTTCCCTCACACCTTCCGTATTAGGTGCCTTCTCATGTTCAAGCAGTGCTCTGGCTTTGCAGGATCCCAATTTGTAGTCTGTCTACTGCAGCCTGCCACACCACAAAGGAACACCCCAAACCCCACTGCCCAATCGATCCTTACTCAGAATGGCACCACAGGATAGGGAAGAACTGCCCCTTTGTGTTTCCAAACCTCTAAATCTTTTCAAGGGTGCAGACTGCCTGACCTTTAAAGGGTTCAAACCACTGATCTTATGAGTGACAGCTCAATGTGAAACCAACTAGTTGCCACCACAGGTCCACAGTCCCTAATTATTTTCCAAGTATTTACCATTTCTTGTCTGATCTTGTAGTTTTGCAATCTCCTATTTAAAACCAGTATAAATTAGTATATCTTAATAGCTGAAACTAGTGCAGTCTTCT